GTGGTAGTAACGAGGGAACGGAAAGGTAAAATCAGAAGAAATCTTTCAGGTAAGGGAGACACAACCACTTTTTATGAAGAAAGTAAAAGAAGGTTACAGCAGGATCGCCACTGGCTTCTATTCTGAGCCATATCTGATAACGTCTCTAGCCACTGTGTAGCACCATCTCTCAGACCCCAACCAGGGAGTCGTGAAGGACCGACAGAAGCCAGTCCTTTGCAGCTTTCCTTTCATGCCACGACACCGTGTCATGCACTGACCACCTCTCCGCTTCTTCCAACCACGCCAGCGGTAGCTGATCGCGATGTGATCAATCTGAGTCCAGGCTTGAGATGCAGAGGGAGGACGCCAGGTGGCACATCGGCGATGACTGTGCCGAAAGTTAGTGCTAGCCAGAAACAGGTTGTGGTCTGTGCAAAGTTGCAGTAGACGGTCCCCGTTATCTGACCTGCGACCAACGAGTCCCCATCGGCCACCTAAACGACTCTCTTCTGTGCCTAGACGCCCGACCTGAGCATTCAAGTCTCCGGTAGGTACTACAATATCTGTCGAACGCACTTTCTGGAGAAGAACAGATAACTGGTGGTAAAACTCATCCTTGATTGCATCCGGGCTGCAATCTGTCGGGGCATAGGCGGAGATGACGAAAAGACATCGTTTCTCACGCCGATTTCTTCTCACTTTGATGGAACTTTCTAATCTAACAGCACATAACCGACTGTTAATGGGGATCCAATCGACTAGTGCTGCCTCAGCTCTAGCGCTTAGTGCGACACCAACGCCAGCAAGACCAGACGAAGATGCCACAGGGTCCCCGGATAAGCGCACGTAAAACAAGCTTTTCGAAGCGACAGATGGAGATCGAATTTGTAGTACTTCGCCAGAGTCTTGAATACGGGTCTCGGATAGACAACAAACATCAATATTAAGACTTTCCAAAGACATAGCCAGCCCTATCTGTTGTCCGACCTGCATAAATGTGCGAACGTTGAAGGCAGCCAGTTTGAATGGTGCACGTGGTTTCAGAAAAACTGCTTCAGTATTCGTATTCGGTGGTAACATACAATTTTCAACCGGACAGTGACTCGAGAACGTTTAGATACAGTCGAATTTCCACCAAAGACGAGCCGCTGTATAAGTATAAAAGAGGGTGAATAATGTGGAAAATAATAATAAAATAATAATAATAATAATAATAATAATAATGACAATAATAGTATAATAATAATAGTATTAATAATGACAATAATTGTAATGATAATAATTTGAATCAATTGATTGTTTTTCGAAGCGAGAAAAGTAATTTCCATAGACATAAAGAGTTCATCATTTGTGTGTGGGCTGTGATACTGCCCGGGTGCCCAAACCGAAGCAGGTGGTTATCTTAGGGGGCCTCACCCCGAGCCTTTGACCTAAAGGTCTAACCCACAAGGCAGTGGAGGATCGTAAGGAGATGCAATCCCATGGTAGCCGGTGACCAACGATTGGTTCATACGCCATTTGTTCCCTCAGGATACTGGAGCCCATGTGCACCATTGGTTTGAGATCCGGTTAAAGCGCCGGACATTCGCTTTTCGTCCTCTCATTTTCGTAAACAACACCCCCGCCACGAGAAGGCAATCGGTAGGACTTCCCTGGCAGAGGCTGTATACGCGCGGCCGTGTGAGAGTATTTCGAGAGGGAGAGCGGACTCTCCCCATTCTCGGCCGTACCAGGGCATTCGGGGGAGATAGTGGGCAGCCCTGACGAACACCACTTGAGGTATTCAATTCTGATGTCAGTTCGCCATAAGCTCTCACTTGACCAGTTGTGTTCGAGTAGAGAGCCTTTACAAGGTTAATATACTTTGGTACTCCTTTCAATGGCAAACACTGCCATAGAACTTCACGATCAATAGAGTCGACTGCTGCTTTAAGGTCGAGAAATGTCCTTCAGTTGTAAATATTACTGCTCTCGCTTTACCGATCCGCGCTTTCACATCTGCATCAGATCCACCATGTTCACCAATGATGCTGCCCAAATATGTTAAGCTTTTTACACCTTCCAAATCTTCTCCATCAAGTATGATTCAATTGGTGCATGCTGTGTTGTATTGGAGAATCTTGCTTTCCCCTTGTGTATGTTGAGACCTACTGCTGCTGAGGCTACTGCTACACTGGTCGTTTTCTCCTGCATTTGTTGTGGCGATTGCGATAGGAGGGCCAAATCATCTGCGAAGTCTAGATCGTCCAGTTGCATCCTAGATGTCCACTGTATCCCATGTTTCCCCTAGATGTTGAGGTCTTCATGATCCAGTCGATCACCAGGAGAAAGAGAAAGGGTGAGAGTAAGCAACCTTGCCTGACACCGGTCTTTACTTCGAACGAGTCTGTCAATTGTCCTCCATGCACGATTTCGCATTTTAATCTATCATATGAATTCTGTATAATATTGACTATCTTCTCAGGTACGCCGTAGTGTTGAAGAAGCTTCCATAGTGTTGTCCTGTCCACTCTATCAAATGCCTTTTCGTAGTCAATGAAGTTGATGTAAAGTGATGAATTCCATTCAAGTGATTGTTCCACAATGATCCGTAGAGTTGCGATTTGTTCTGTACACGATCTATCCCTACGGAATCCAGCCTGTTGGTCTCGAAGTTGTTCAGAAGTCCTTCTTTCCAGTCTGTTGGTACCTGTTCTTCATCCCAAATCATATGAAGAGAATGTGGAGTATCCTTTCAGTACTTCTGCTGGAATGTTGTCTTGTCCTGCTGCTTTGCCGCTCTTGATTTGTCTGATGACCATGCTGATTTCTTCAATTGTTGGTGGGCCAACATTGATTGGGAGGTCCGTGGGTGCTGTTTCGATGTTGGCTGGGTTCAGTGAGGCTGATCGATTCAAGAGTTCTTTGAAGTGTTCTACCCACCTGTTTCGATGCTTTTCAATGTTGGTGATTACCTCGCCTTCCTTGCTTTTCACTGGTCGTTCTGGTTTGCGGCGATTTTCAGAGAGTTTCTTTGTTTTGTTATACAATTGTCTCATGTTTCCTTCTCTTGCAACCTTTTCCACCGTCATTGCTAAATCTTCCACATATTTACGTTTGTCGGTGCTGATGCTCCTCTTCACTTGTTTGTTTATTTCCGTGTATTCAGCTTGTTCCTTGGCTTTTTCTGCTCTTGTTCAACTGGTATTGATCGCTGCCTTCTTGTTCCTCCTTTCTTGAATCTTATCCAGTGTATCAACAGTGATCCATTCCTTGTGATGATGTTTCTTGTGACCTTATGACATGTTGAAGTGATTGCCTCGTTGATCCCCTTCCAGTTGCTCTCCATAGCAGTTCCTTCTCCGTTGAGTAGATCATGAAAGGCCTGGAACTTGTTGCTGAGGACTATCTTGAATTTATGGATTTTTTCAGTATCACGGAGAAAAGCCGTACTAAACTTTTTTGATGTCCGCCCCGTTGTCCAGTGCTTCTTGAGTTTCAATTTCATCTTGGCGACCAGTAAGTGATGATCTGATGCTATATCAGCTCCTCTCCTGGTTCTCACGTCCTCTATAGTCCTCCTGAACGTTTTGTTGATGCAAATATGGTCGATTTGGTTTTGTGTAGTGTGATCCGGTGAAGTCCATGTGGCTTTATGAATGCGTTTATGTAGGAATATAGTACCGCCTATGACCAGTTTATTGAAGGCACATAGGTTTGCAAATCTCTCACCATTTTCGTTCGTTTCTCCCTGTCCGTGTCGTCCCATGATGTCTTCATATCCGGTGTTGTCTATTCCAACCTTGGCATTTAAATCTCCCATCAGAATGGTCAGGTCCTTTGTTGGGCACTTCTCGACGATTGACTGCAATTTATCGTAGAATTGATCTTTAGCGTCTTCATTGTAGTCGTTGGTAGGTGCATAGCATTGGATGACGTTCATTGAAATGCCCTCTTTCTTTTTTTGAAGGAAGCTTTGATGATCCTTGGTCCATGAGATCTCCGAAGGAACGAAGCTTTCATCATGAGGCGTCATAGTTCTTCTAAATGAAGACCTTCTGACTCCCAGGGCAGAGTTTAGATCGTTCGAATAATTTTTGTGGTTAGCGTTTTTTAGCGAGTTATTTTTCTACGGGATGGGGTCACCAACCCCATGCCCAACCCTCCTTTATTCGGGTTGGGACCGGCAGTAGCCCCCAGAGTGGCTCCAGGTGGAGTTTCAATAAGCACACAGTCACCAATTTTATGTTGGCGCAACTCAGATTATTGACGAGTAGAAATAATGATGTGAGGAACTAAAGCCAAAGGAAAATAACATAGAAAGTAAAAAAGGAATAAATAGTACGTGATAGTTTGAATAAAACAAAAGGACAAAATTTACAGAATACGGTTATGTGATTATACGATATTTAGGGAGCAGCAATTAATAATTATTAAGGTAGATTAATGATGAATACAGTGATCTTGAGTGCTATTAGAGTTATGAGGGCGGTTTTCACTTCCCGGCTGGTTGTCTGAAGGAAACGCCTTACTGCCGTCACACCTCTGTACAGTCAGCAGTACGACTTCGCCCTTGGATCTTGGGTTTGCTGCTTATAGTCTTATTACTCTTCAACCGACATGTCTGGTATGGTAGGACATTGAGGAACGATTATTCCAGCCAGTATAGCTCGATTGGTTCATCATGATAAGCAAGCCCGACCACCACGTCAAGGTAGCAGCAATAATATCTTATTTATATATGTTGCGCTGAAACACAACTTTTTGACCATTAGGTTTTCACTTTTCAACCACACTGCACTCACATCACTTTCACTGAGTATTATTTTTAATTATATTTAACACGGAATTCTGGATGCTGTTCCATGTTTCCAAAGTAAATTTAACGACTAATTGCACTTGATAACATTTTCGACTTTTAGCTTATCAGGGTTTTTCGCATTGGCTTTTAGTCAAGTTCATCTAATCCGTAACACATCTGTTTGAAATTTGTCTAATGGTTTTGATGTGTAAGCTACAATTTCATTTATAATTTATAGATGCCGACTGTATTTCTAATAAGAACCCTAACTCGACAATTCCTGATGATGAATCGAACATTGAAGTCATGTCAAACAATCATGGGTGCATAAATTTGGGTCCAAAACGTCGTTTTACTGTTGGGTCTGATGTAGATGGTGCGTCAACTTTGATGTACCGAGCCACTCAACTGATTAAGTAAGTATCCATTTCGAACTGTATGCTTTGATGCTTAATATTTCACGTATTCCCTCTTCAGACTAAGCCTAGATATCAGTAGCATCTTTGATAGACATAAAAATACCAACCATCTTTTTACACACTTAAGAAATATAAGGAATTTTGTAAGATATACTAAAGTACCACACCGTATGTTCAAATCGTTGTATCTCATATGATTAGGGTGACGTACCCTATGTTAGTTGTAAATAACTTACTAAATTTCGTTGTTTCCCTTGCAAGCCATGTTAACAGATTTATCTTTCAATGTTTCTGGTAGTATTAACTCATTAAAGTCCACTGATCCATAAAAAATAGAATCTCTTGGAATATCCTAAGAAAAGTGATAGTACAGAAATTCATCGTCTTTAAAGCTCAAACTTCACATAAACTCAGCAAACGATAGGCTAAAGACAACGAAACAAACGGAATTAGAAACGGTTTGTGAACTGAGCTGGATTGATGGTTTCAGTTCATTGGTACGTTAATTTTCGGGACTACCTTCATGTAATAGAGAATGTATCCATCTGCTAATTACAATGAATGCATGTGTATAGTTTTCACTTGATTTAAGAAATATGTAATAATCATGGGCTTATAGTGTTTCTCAAGTTAATTTGTAACTAGTGAATGTCCAGAAACTTGTGGCCTGAAACCTGACTTCGAGTAGATCGTATGAATGGTTGATGAAATATACATATCGTCTATCCTCGTATATAATCATCAACTTAAATCTCGTTAGTGAATAACGGAATTAAATAAGTCAAATACGAGAATGGATGTTTGAATACATATATTTTGTACACTCACTTATCTGGGCAGAAAATGAGACAGATGAAGCGAATAGAAGAAAGCGAAGCGAAATGACGCGCGTTGGAGAAGGCATGTGAGCCAACTCGATTTAATCAAGCGTTAATCAATATTTATAGTCACACAAAAATAAACTATAGACGTCATTACTAGGGTAAGATATACACGCACATACGTTCATATAAAAACAGTCAAAGTTGATAAGTGAATAATTAACAAAGTCAAAACGTAACACAAGAAGAATGAATAGATTGACCTGTTCAGAAGCTAGAATAAGTTATGTGGGCTTAACATAGTAACCGACACTACAGACTATTTGGTTTACATATCCACGTTTAAGTCTGAAACTAGCCTGGTTCCTCTTCATGTGACCTAATTAAGTGTTAAAGGACTGTTGAGGCTTATAATTTAAACACTTTTAGTTAAACTAGTTCTTTGTGCTTATCACAAATAAATTCCTTCTTTTCCTATGGACTAATCAACAATCGAAACTAATTTGATGGGATTGCTACCATTTCTCAAACTCTAGCTAATATCTCAGTTAACTTAACCGTTAAAAATAAACCACCATCCTTAAAAAATCTCTTGTGTTTGCTACTCTTCTTCGTTTTAGAATTACCTTTAACCTCTTAATGTAGGCAGAAACAAGGCTCAAAGCAGTGTACACAAACCTATATTTAGTCAGTAAGCTAAGTTTCATATATCTCATGTGCTTACAGCTACAGCAAATCTGTTAAACAAGATTTCACCGTTATTTGAAATAGAATTATTGAGAGACACTTGTCATCAAAACTGCTGAAGTTTTATCATAAAGTTTGTAATGCAGGAATTTTCATGCCGTTGCGTTCGAGTTCTTCACTGTTGTCTGTTGTAACTCTCCAAGAACAAATAAGTAGGAGGAATGTATTGCAAACAGAAATAACGAATTGCAAATCGAAGTTACTGACATGAAAGAGCTTCTGCATCATATTCTCATGTGGGATTGTTTCGTTAATGCAAATTTATGTCTTGTTAAATATAAGCCTGAAAAGGTCTACTTTTTCTTCATTTTCATCCTTTACAATTGAATTAATCCCTATTGGTTTCTTATTTTTTTATTCCTTTGTTAAAATGTCATTTTCCTGGGTTAATTTACAAGAAATTTCTTTTGCTGTTTTATTTTACCTCAGACGTTCTCGACGTAAATTTTTGTCGTTAACTGAACTTCGTCGTTTCGGTCGTCATCCTTGGTTTGATTTTAATGTGGGTTTACATTCACAAAATGGTCTACATTCTATTTCTTCATATTTAAAAAAGAAATCTCATACAGTCACAACCAATTCGACTACAGAAACTGATCTTCCAAATCCTGGTATTGTTACTTCATCGTCAAGTGCACATTGAATTCAGAATAGATCGTCCCATTACTTCATTTCCATAATAGGACATTTTCAACATTTTTTGTGTTTTTACTGTTACTTTTGCATGACGTTATCATGTCAGACATTAATACTGACAGTATTGTAAAACTTATTCAAATCCTATTCCAGTATTGTTTTCACCATTCATTAGTTTCGCCGGGATTTAAGTTAAGTAATTTCATCATCATTATCACTTCATTGTTTTTGGTGTATAGAAATGTAATATCTCTTCTTTTATGCTTTCCTTGTTCTAAGTTTATAAAAAAATGTCTTCTTCATCTTGATTCCATTTTCTGTATCTTCCTATTTGCTCATTAGGTTATTTGAATAAACTTGTAATGTCTAATTTTTTCAGTTATTTAGGAGGGTGCATTTAACAAAATTCAAGTTACCGGAAAATATTACATTCAAGGTGTTTATTTTCTGTGAATTTTTTTTCTCTATTTTGTAATTAGTCTATAAAATAGCCGTTGTTGGGTGACTCAGTAGTTGTTTCTCTAGGTAGTGATTATTAAGTGCGAAAATTTTATTTGAACATATATATATATTGGCACAAAGGGTTATCGAATACAAATGCGCCACGCAAGTCACTTGATTTGTGTGTGGGTTGTGATACTGCCCTGGTGCCCAGATCGGAGCAGGTGGTTTTCTTAGGAGGTCACTCCAGCCTTTGATCTAAAAGTTTAATCCACAAGAGAGTGGAGGAACGTCAGGAGATGCAGTCACATGGTAACCGGTGACCAACAATTGGTTCACGTTCCATTTGTTACTTCAGAATATCAGAGCCCATATGCACCAATGTTTTGGAATCAGGGTTTTCCAACTCTCCTAGATGGATCCTCCATATCCACAAACCCGGTTAAAGCGCCGGACATTCGCTTTTCGTCCTCTCATTTTCGTAAACAACACCCCCGCCGCGAGAAGGCAGTGAGTAGGACTTCCCTGGCAGTGGCTGTATACGCGTGGCCATGTGAGAGCATTTCGAGAGGGAGAGCTAACTTTTCCCACCCTCGGCCGTACCAGGGCATTTTGGGGCGAAATTCAAATTGTAGTGGATTACCTTCAGTTGGTTACATTTTGTAATTATAGAGCATTAAATATGATTTCTTTCCATAGTGTTATTAATTACCGTTCAGCTATAAATAGTATCACTTGTCAGGTGATGTTAGTTGGATAGAATCACTCTGTACATAGAATTATTGTTGTTATGCACCTTAAAACCCAGTGGTCCGTGTTATCGATTGACATCCTGGATGTTTCACCTGACAAACAGTCTTTGGAATTCAACTGTAAATTCCTACTGTACTTCTATAATTACGGTTGGTCAAGACGGGTAAGATTCACTTGATGAGAACAGGTAATAGGTGGATCGTGCTATGATGTTTAGGCGATGAAGGTGTGAGTAAGAATATTAACATCCTCAATCACTATACACCTTCATCTCAATTATTTCAGTCCTTTTGTTGAAATATCTAGTATTGCCCAACGCTAGGGTTTTTTCTCAACTTCACTATCTGTGGCAACCTAATAATCGCTCCAAAGTAGTTTTAATTTCGTGGTAGGGATGTGATTTACTTATCTGAAGAAAGACTTTTTGATGAATATGAATAGAAACATACCTAAATAATACTTTCCCGTTTAATGATTATTGTCATGTTCTTTAAAATTTTGGCGTTTTTGAGATGTATGAGTGGTAGTGTTAACGTTACAGTTGCAAACAATTTGAGTTCATTGAGATTTGAGCCAACTTTTGCACTGCTGATATCTCAATATGGTTGTAAAAGTTGGAGCATATGATGTATTTTAAAACAGGTGTTTTGTACTTGTGAAAGTTGTTTCTCACTGGCGTTTAGAGTACCCGGCAAATCCCTACTTTCGTCTATCTTCATTCCTGATGAGTTTCTTTAATCAATGGCTACACTGTGAAAATAATGCCGTGGTTTGGCCATTTCGATGAGAAATAGATGTCACTGTCTTTAAGTGATTTTTTAAATTATCATCTTAGCTCATAATTCGTAGACACTGAATGGGAAAAACAGAGATCAGTCTTCTAACGAATTAAACCGGTTATCCCATTACCAACTCCTCCGTGAGATTCTATGCAACTCAGCGGCACTTAAGGAGTTAAAACCATGTTAAGGTTCCGAAAACCAACTGCTCAATAATTATTTGTCTGAAATTATTACCATCGCTGGATATTTAAATGGGTTGTACCTGATGCTGAGATCCCGAATCCGCCGACGCGTTGTGAAAACCAAAGATGAATGATGAAGGTTTATTTGACTCCCAAAATAATGTACACATTAACTACCTTCTTTGTAAAACTTGTGTTCGGATTAGCCGTTGGATTTACATTATTTAACTGAACTGCATTTAATATCAGTTAGTTAATAATTTCCTAAGTGAACACGTATTACTTATGTCATACTGATCAACTTCCACACTGGTTTGATTTTCCTGCTTTTATTCTATCATATCAGTATTAATTAAGAAATTATTTACAAACGGATTCCTCTTTTTCATATAACTTACAGTTCTTACTTCCAACGGGAATAAAACTTGTCCTTTTTTACGATGCTTGGAATGCCTATTATTTGTTATTTTGAGTTACGTTCTTGTTCTCATTAGCTAGATGATGTCTTATTCGGTCAGCTACTTGTCATCTAGATGTCATATCATCATTCATGTTTGGAATTATAGATGGTAAATAATTTTCTATACTACTTCATATTCGCTAAAATGACGGTTGAATTCACTTTAATGACGCACCCGAGATCTATTTGAATCTGAAGACTGATTTAGTTACTCGAACATATTACATCTGGTTCCACAGTAAATCAGACTTAGTTGAAGTCAAGTTTGCATTCAGGATGATAAGAATAAAAAAACAGTCAATCACAACACAGTCAAACGCGAAGATAATTGGTTCCAAATGGCTGTTCAAGAAAATTGCGTTTCGACCAGTTAGAGCATCGCCACTTTGTCAATAATTAATTTAACCGATCTGATGCAAAAATTAGATAAGCACTGATTACTAATAAGTAACATAGTCATAAAACAAAAATTTCACACTGCAAGGCTAGGTCTGTGGTTTTCGTGCATTTTAAGTTGTTCCCAGCGCCTTATTTCGGTGATATGGAGGGGATTCGGCGGTCTGACGTTACGTCTTTTCAATCACAACCTTAAAATTCGCAGTTTCGTGTTTTTCTCGCTTAATTTTCGAGGTTTAGTATGGATATTGATGCTTCCCAGTCGTTTACTCTTTCCAAAGTGATTCAGTTTTGGTGCAATTTATTTTCTTACGATATATTCTCCTGCTGTAGACGCCTTCAGGAATGTTCTAAAAAACAGCCACATATGCTTTAAAAACGGACTTGCTTGTAATGATGATCACCTACTTTATCGCGACTATCTACTCAAATAATATTCATTTGTTAAGCGTCCATTAAAGTCCTAGATTATGAATCGATTCTACTTTCACACAATTTTTTCCGATCAGCATCATTCATCTTAAGGTCCTCATTTGTCGAAAATTGCTAGTTTAATGTGCGGCTCTCGATTAAAATAAGGTCGAAACTTCGGTGATCAATATGCTTGTCGCCCGTACCTTCTGCAATATGTCCAGATGGGGAATATATATGAATCGTTGCGATTAACTGCAGAATAAATGGCACTGTTCGCTACTAGGTAGTTAATTTCAAGTATATATTATTAGTCGTTCTGTTATTTGAATAAGTAAATACGTTATGAACTTGAGTTGTTTTTTCTAAATATATTGGTAGACCCCTTCGTGTGAGTGGGCTCACTAACTGATAGTTTCTGCAATGCACTGTGTTAAAAGCATCTATCTGAATACCGAGCAATGATATGCTTCATCATTACGGAGAAGGGTGGTAAAGAAATGTAGTTTAGGCTTCCTAGTATGCTTGATCACAAGCGATGATACTACTCGACAGGAGTTGTATTCATAATTAAGTTGCTTACCTGTATGATACAAAATTTTAGTGACACCTCTGGCATTTACAGTTTTCGAAAGATATCATTTTGGATGGGTGTGGTTATATTGATAGTGCTGCCTGGATGTAATGGGCTTTTTGTCAGAATCTATCGCAATAGTGAATATAGCAAAGGAGCTTATTGCCAAGCACAACCCAACTATTTCCGTCAAAATGGTTTGGATAATGATCGTAAGCAGTCGCCTGAAGCAAAAATATAGTCTGCTTGGTCACTTTGGCCGAATAACCACCACCACAAATACTATTTCTTTTTTTGTAGTGTGATGTGGTCTCTTTGGCTGGTACATAAACCAAGTATGCTTGAAATAAATGATTCGCAAAGTGGAAGCTGTTATTGACGTTCTGGTTTCAACTGGAATGGCCAGGAGAACAAAGGACCAATAAGAACGCTGGGTTGCTCATACTGATTCGATCGATAAATACGCTGCGCATCTAACCTGGAGTCCACCCGTTACAACCGTAAGACACGTATTTGTTACAAAAAGTATTCTAATTATACGTAGCGATTATTAATTAAGAACTAAAATCGTTTTGATTGGAATAAAATACAAGATGAAGTCATAATCCCCGGTTATTTTGAAAATGGAAGTAACAACAATTAGCGGAACTATGAACATATTAAAAAAGTATACGGTTAAATGAGGTAAGTTTTACGTGGAACAGGAGTGAGTAAGTTATAAGATGGAGATCGATAAAATAACTAACATTATCAGAGTCAGCTCAGGCAGAATAAACACTCTACATTTTATGGTATTGTTAAATGATAATATTAAATGAGTGGTAAACGTAACCGCAATGTTTTATTGCAAAGTAGTCAGTCTTCAGTGGTAAGGATAGGTCAGTCAACCTATACTAGTCCTTGTAATTCGTAGTGCAGTGAAGATCCAATCTCACTTTGAATGTATCAACACAGGGTTCTGATATTGCGTGTTGTAGTAGAGAATCCCGGTAATTCACCACTTGGTGCAAGAAGCTACACTCCAGCTGTAAACTATTTGATCTAGGCTTTTACGATTTTTTAGAATGTCTTCTCAGACGATAAGTCCTGGATGGGAGGAACAGCTAAAATATAATAATACTTAAATCGTCGTTCGGTATACAGTAAGCTAGTATTAGATCACTCTTTAAGCATGAAAGACATTTCCCAAAACCATGTCTTCCCCTGGCTGAAGATAATTCCCTTCCACGTAGTTTAGGGTAGCCATCCAAATAGTCTTTTACACTAGTTTGACGACTACACTGGTTAGACTAATGGATCGATAGTCATCAACTAAGTCTCTAATCTACGCTCTGTAAACCGGACTGATAATTGCGTCTTCCCAGCCTCTTGTAATTTACAGTGTCCAGCAGTGTTTAAAAAATAACCTGATAGTTAAAATATTGGTTTTTTAAAACAGTTTTGAGCTTACTCATTTCTCAGCTCTCTATCACTTAAAATGATACTAGTGTAATACTGATATTTAAAGGAATATGAAGTTAAAATGTTGTACTTCTAAGTGCCTGGTCTAAAAATGTGCACGTGAAACATAATCATATTTTTAACTGCCTGAGCTTTTATGTAATTTGATCAAATATCCGTGTAACTAGCAATATGATTTTATCAAACATTACAAATACACTTTAATAATACGCCTAATGACACATGAAATGTACGGTCAGCTATCTTTACCGAATATCTCTAAAATTTATGCTTTAGTTCAGTTACTGTAAAGAATTATTTTCTTCTTGGATTTTGTAAAGAAAGAGTGGATTTCATACATTTGTCTCCTTATATAACTCTGGTTTGGTGGTAGGGTGACTCAGCTTTAAACTCGTACATTGAGAGTTCCAGGTTCATTCCATCTACTTCGTTTTGGCACCTGGTGAAAGCATTAATCTCCACACACACAAGAAACAAGTTTAGAGATGTTTACTTGATAAATAAGGTGCGTTAAACTGTGAAAATTAATATAAAGTAACACAAGGATGTATGGTGAATCATAAGTACTTGGACGACAGTAAAGCTTTTCAGAATGATTGACATTGTAAATTGAAGAAATTATAGGCGATGAATTTCAATCTTGGCTTGTGTTTCTTAAACATTGATTTCTTTCGACATTATTATTGGTTGTGTTCTGATAATATATTGAAAAGTTTGAGTAAAAGACGATAACATTTACATTTTGTTAACATTCTTTCAGCATTAATCTCTAAATGTTGTAGTTGATATGAATTTATTTCAAAAATTGATTTATGTTAATAAGTTGATATCTTTTCTTGAAATATTTATGTAGACATCTAAACTACTCTCAAGTGTATGTGAATAGGTTCACATTTGATGATCAAGATATTCACACTAGTCTCTTTAATCTGTTTCTCGAAGTGATTTCATTAATAATCTTACATTGGGGAAAGTAAGTTAAGTGACTTTCTGCAAAATATTCAACTTCTTCAAAAGATTTTATGAAGTACCTGATTAAGTGTTGTTAAAGTATAAGCTAGAAATCTCGCGAAAGTACTACCATACTTTAGTAATAGAGAACTTTATTTATTTGAAATTATATCTTGTAATTCGACTCGAAAAGCATCAATATAATAATCAGAAACATTTGGCTTAATTATATAACTGATATATGAATAAGATGACTTTTCCATAAGTTTGTATTACCTATTTTCTAACTGTGAAAATATTACGATTCACCTTCATATTTTGTATCTTTTTTTTGAAGTAAGTAGTTGTGAGTATTAATTGATTGACTGACCCATAAACTACGATAAAAACGTTTTACGAATAGTTAATAATTTCAATGGTTAAGATCATGAGTCAGTTGAAGCTAGACCACCATGGAGAACCTGGAAGCACTGGATGGCCATTTCGTCCTATTGTGGGACTCCTCAGCAGTGCGCATCCACGACCTCGCCCCCTGCGAGTCTCAAACTCAGGACCTACTGGTTTCGCGCGCGAGCACTTAACCACTAGACCACTGGGCCGGCCAGCATCTTACGGTGTTAATGTGTAACTTCACCTAATCCACGAAATTGAGCGGCACATCCACCATTGTCTTCAGTGAGTTACTATCTCACAACAGACCTGGTTGAATTCAACTAGTCACTACTTCTCACTAGAACTCCAGGATATACCTCTTGAAGCCAGTCACTAGTGAGCATATGTTGATTAATATCAGATGGGTTTTGCGGATATTAAAGTGGTGAAGTGCTCGCGCGCGAAAACAGAAGGTCCTGGGTTCGAATCTCGCAGGGGGCGAGGTGGTGGATGCGCACTGCTGAGGAGTCCCACAATAGGACGAAATGGCCATCCAGTGCTCTCAGGTTTTCCACGGTGGTCTAGCTTCAACTGACTCATGATCTTAACCATTGAAATTACTATAGTATCCACAAAACCCATCTGATATTAAAATAATTAATAGATTAAATGTTTTAGAATTAAAATGGAAATCCTATAAATGTTGGTATATATTCACCTGTTTGTCTACCCTGTGAAAAAACAAGAGACGAATCACATTGAAATTTACTCATCCTATACATGATAGATGAAAAACAGTTAGTATAGTTGAGATGATAGACCACTTCTATAGCTGAAGATGGACAACAACTGGGATTCATGTTGAATATTATTATGCAATATTATTTAATTCATGCTTAACATTCTATGTTATGAAAAAGTATTTAGCATCGAATAAAGGTATTTTTTTATCATTATTCTCTCAAAGTCGATTTATTGTAATAAATGAACTCAGAATGTATAGATAGTGTTTCAAAGATTACTGGTTTCATGAGGTATATCAATTTTTCCGTGGTTGTACTCTTGATAATTCAGAGAGCTACTTATGAATTTTATATGCATAACAACTTCGTGCTTGAATTAATTTTGTCAATGAGTGAAAGAAGTGAAGTGATTTAGACCGAAGACGCTATTGTTGTTTATAGTCAATGAAATACTGATCATAATAATGAAATTAATGATGGTGTCATTAACAAAACTGGGATGAAAACTATCGGCAGATATTGGTTGGCTAATTAACTAAATAGATAAATATTTTCTTCAAATGTTTACTGACTTTACTGAAAAGATAAAGTTTCTGATTTCTGTGGGGGATCCATTTTTTTCTTGCAAAACACAAATATGAACGTAAAGTGTATTTTCAAATTATATATATAATTTATTAACATACGAGGCTGAAACTTCTCTGCTAATCCATCCACTAAGTATTAATAGAAAACTTTAATACGAATATTTATAATAAATACAAGGAAACTCAACAAAGAAAGGAAGAAAATACATATAGTAACTGGAAAAATTTACACAGGTAGATTATAAAGAGAAAACACAAGTGTTCTGCTCATGTTTTTTCAAAGAATATGCCTGAGAGTTGATTAGTGGAAGCCCAAGAATCCGTTTTTAATGCAATAACAGGTGTTGATGATGGTGAATGAGCAATGAAAACAGGTAAGGAATGTGAAATATCATCAAGTTGAACTGTTTTATTATTTATAATAGGTGTTGTATTACTTTGTGTTAAAACAAGATTAGAATCTAAATAAAAAGCAGTTAAAGGAAGTTGATTTTCTGGTTCTTTAATTACCGATACTGAAGATTCAGGACTTAATTTCTCTCTGTTTGTGGGGCTAAGTTGACTACTCATTTTTAATAATGGTTTTGTAGGCCATGGAATAATCGGTGCTGGCTGAGGTGATATAAGAATAATATTCTCAATATTTCGAACATAGTTGAATGATTCTTCTGTGTTACTTGGTGCTTTTGAATGACTTTTCCACTTTTTTATATCAGACATAGAGACTGTTGGGTTGATATATAATATTTTTAAGATTTTGCCACCTACATCGACTATACCAATACAACTAATCATTACTATTCCGACAATAATTGCTGTTACAAATAAATTATTTGCTTGTTCTTCACTATTCCAATCAAAATCTACGAATGTACTGATCGCGGAAGTCCAGATAATTCGTTTAATATTGTTCGGTCTTATTTTTTTATGCAGTGAAGTTATAATACCTGTGAAGACAGAGTAAAAAAAACATGTTCAGTGTTAAATTGGTTTGATTTCTGCATAAAATTCTGAAAATATTTTGTTAGTATGGGGTTGTGGAGATTGTTAAGTTTTTGATCGAGATCTTGAATCGATTAATGTTAGACCAACATTGAAAACCTGAAAGCAGTGGACGGTCGTTTCGTCTTAGTATGGGACTCGTCAGCAGTGTGCACCCACGATCACTCTCGCGGGGCTCGAACATATGGCCTTCGGTATCTATTTCAGTCAATAGAAGATGATCGCGTAACTTCGTGGATTAGTTAAACTTAGACATTAACACCATCGGATGCCGGCTCGGTGGTCTATAGGTTAAAAGTTCCCGCGCGAGACTTGAGGTTGTCGGTTTGAATCTTGCGAGCAGGATCGTGGTTGCTCACTGCTGGATAGTCCCATACTAAGGCGAAACGGCCGGATGGTGCTTTCAGGCTTTCAATAGTGGTCTTACATCAATCGATTCATGATCTCAATGACAAATGTTTTGTGATTGTATTTGATTTTATTACGATAGATGATTCATATATTAGCTTCATGGACGTGACATTTAAAACTTTTGGGATTATTTGTTGCATCCGCTTCCGTTGGACCACTGAAATATAATCAGTAGGCCCTGCATGATAAATTGTATATTAGGCATATACCAAATATTTCGTAGTTAATATTCTGGTGATATCTCCTGTTTAATATATCACATCATATTACTGAAATGATACTAGTAGTTAGAATATTTTTTAAATTTTAATCAAGTTGTAGTTGTGCTCACAGGGTAATTCATAAAAGTATTAACTAGAATAATATATAACTAATGTTACTCATAACATGAATTAAGTAAGACCACCTTAAAAGATCATCTCTAGAAGTTGTAAAAAATGTAATGCTAAAGTGAATGACTTTAATGTAACGGTAAGTAGATCAAATGATACAATTTATTCAATAGTTTCCTCATTAATTTAAAATATAGTATAGATTTTAAGTATATAATATATGGAGATGATCTTATTCCCATACATAGCAAACCACACTTTTGTTATTACTTTGTATTAGTATTGATCAAAGCTATAAAAATTCTGCCTGTATCTTCTTGCTTTACTCTGTGGCTTATGAAATATTGTGTCATTTCACAAAGTGTGTAGTATTATTATTTCTCATTCTGAAAAATGCAGTCATAAAAGAATATTCGCAATCAGAAACTTTGTGTTCCAGTTCGTTTCCCAGTTTACTTCGTTAGTCTATAGTGAAAAAATTGTGATCAAACATTTGTATTATTCAAATGCTTTGTACATAGACGCATTTTTCAATTGATCACTTTTTTGTCATTTCCTTGTCTTATTTATGACTATCATTATCTTTCAATTTTATACTCCATAAAATCTATTTCGGTTTCGGCAAATAGGTGACTTTACTAGTCATAATTTACACAGTATGTTTTAAATGCAGGAGGAAAACGTGTTTTTTTTAGCGAGTTATAGTAAATTATATTAATTAAATATCTGATAAGTTGCATGGAATGTATAAGTACCAGCCAGTTTCTATGTTGTCACATACAGATTTCTATTGATTCAAAATTTGTTTAATAAAAGAATGTTAAAGTACCGTCTGATACATACGCACTTATGATAGATACATCGCTTAAATCGCTTTTATATACAGTGGATAATTTTTTTATTGCGAACATTTGTAGTATGGATTTAGGATGGAGAGGCCTATTTATCCTCAACATGCTTGAATAGTAAGTTTTAGAAAAGAACAATATGAAATTAATAATATTAAGAAAATGGAATGAAAACAACAATATTTCCTATAGACATCGTTACCAACCTTCTTTATTCGAAGAAATGTTTTCTTCGTTTATTGGAACTGATATTACTGGTAAAAAATGGCAAATCTGTTGACGAAATAAAAATTCTGAATTAAAAATGGGTGAGGTAGGATAATTTGTTGGTTTGTTGTCGGACTTTTCTGATTTAATTATTGGAGATGATGATTCAACTTGAGTGAGAAGTGATTGAACAACTGAATTTTCTGTGTCCATTTGTTGATCGAGGTAATTCTTCAATAAAAGTAAAAAGTAAGATTGAAACTTTGAGGATAATGACCATTACTGTGATATACTTTTAACATACATATTGAATTCAATTTTGTAACAAGTAAAATGCATTTTTTAAAGGAACAGTGGTACTAACATGGAGTAAATGTTACCAATTAGGATAATGAATCCATTTCAGTTCAACTATATTTAAAAAATTGATGATTAGAAAAAAAGTAGTCTTAGTTAGTCACTTACAAAATATAAGTACGCTTATTAGTACAAGAAAAATGAGATCCCTTAGCAAACACAAACTTTATAGTCGATATGAAATATGTGGACGTTCTTTGAACAATTCGCAAAGGCTTGTAATATACTTATTACTCAGGATGAAATTATGATATGAATAAATTAAATGTTTTCGGAATGCTATATCTGGATAATTATATAACTTACTGTGCCAGTGAATTCGTTCTTTAAAAGTAAATAAAATGGATAGATGTTAAATTCTTTATTTTTGTCAGTTTATACTAGTCGGAATTTTATTCAGTTTCTCATTATCATATAAAAAAAGCCATAGATAAGATGTTTATTTGTTCCGTTATGTCATTATGGACGCTAAAATAACTTGCCATTGTTTTTTATTTAAACTGGTACAGTGGTGTTAAATGTTCAGATTTTAATCGACAGAAAGTTTGACGACGAAAGAGCACTTAGATTTGTATTTTATAATCGGAAGAATACGATTTGAAATAAAAAAGGCAGTGGAATAGTGAATACCGCAACTGACTTTGAATCAGTAAGTCACAGATTCAAAATAGATCATACCTACTTCGATCGAAGAAGTTGATTTATGTCATTAGCTTTTACGCTAAAATAAAAACTCATAATTGACTACACAAACGTGTGCTCGATATGTAAGTCACATTGTTCAAATTAATCAGTGCTGACTAAGCAATTTAGTGTAATTTTGATTACAATAGGAAGATAAGTTTACAAAAATGGAGACATTTTTCAAACTACATATTAACATGAATATTTAAGCTACAACAGGTTATTTCGAATTAGTTATAAAATATAAAGTTTACCAATGAATTTTTATGTTGCTGAAATTACTTTTAGATGTAGATGAGTTAAAGATATGCATCTATACGTATATATATATATATATATCATGAAATATATATTTATTATAAATTTAGTAAGAAATGCCTTACTTCACAATATATCTGTACACATCATTTTGGTTTACCTAGTCTGCTTACTTCGGGTAAACTAAAACAAGGGAATTCAAGAGAATTATCAGAAAATTTCAATAGTTGAGGTCTTGAGTCGATTGAAGCTAGACCATTTTGGGATATTCGGGAAAATATCCCAAAAATTATTCTGTTAAGTCTAACGCTATCCGTGGACTTGAAATGGTGTTATTTTCTTATTGGTCAATATTTATTTCACGTGTCATTTTCCTACTAGTCAATATTGTACAATGTTATTTTCTATTTTATGGTACAATGTGGTCTGCTTGATTGGTATATAAACAGAGTATGTTTGAAATATGACGATTCATATCTCAGAGGCAGAGACTTGTGTTCTGGACTCAACTGGCTGGGCTAGACAGGGAAGCAGGGCCAATTAGGAATCTAGGTCGTTCTTATATGTTTTACGCGTCTTTGGTCCGATCGATAAATTCGCTCACTACCCTCTAATCAGCAGCCTTTTTCATGTTATAACAGACCATCATAGAAAACATGGAAGCATTGGACGACCGTTTCGTCTTATTGTGGAACTCCTCAGCAGTGCGCATCAGAAAGTTCTTGCGAAAAAAGTGGAAACCTTGTTTTGGTTAATATCAATCACATGAAAAAAGTGGTATTCTAATCAAGTAATTATTTGTCATATGGTAGTTTACAAAGATTTCTTTTGTAAACTTAAACTATGCTACTGAAATTGAGCAACGTTTAAAAAGGGTTTTTGAAAGTTTTGTCATATTATTTGCAAATAAGCAAATAAATGTTCCTCTAAGAATGTAATAGAACTTATATGTAAATTATATATTTACTTGGCTTATAAATGTTTCATGATCTTGAGGTTAAATAATCTTCTATCTAGAAACGTATCCATCTTTGGAGCAGGTTATTTTGTTCCTTAGTAATTTAACTGACCATGACAAACTTTATATACGAATTCACATTACTCCTGGAATATTTATCCACAGTAATCTCATTTTAAATCAACCGTCTAGGACCTTTTGATGTTTCTGACTAGTTTTATGTCAAAAATGTGCTTCTTATTCTGTACATCATTGATAAGATGATCAGCTTGAAAAATTACTTTCAATAATCAAGATGGAACTAATCATCATTGAAATAAGTTTTGAATGTGATTTGAATCAGAATTCAAGTAGTAACTCGTATTCAATCTGTGACATTTGTACTGAATGACAGCATAATATATTGTATCACACTAAATCTGTTTTATATGTATTATTTGAGAGATATAATTTTAAACACTATGTATACTGTAAAGTTAACAAATAAATCTTTGCTTATGACAGCAAACAGATTGTTGGTTTTCGTTTTTTCTTAAATTCGAGGTTGAATATTTCTGTTAGTTTTTATTTTTATTTTACTTACTGTGAGAACTGTGTTTTTTGAATATATACAATAAGAAACCTAATTTTTAGATATGGTGTCAACTGAAATTAGACTGTGTATATACTTAAGTTAAATAGATCGTTCTAAATTTAAATGTTTAGATGACAGTTAGTGACAGCATGTAAATAAAAGAAGAACGCTGAAGGATGCTAATTTTGAGTATTAGAAATTTATGATATGAAATATGTTTACTACAAATGAATTTCAGTCATGAATTTTTATTTAACTATCCATCATAAACATCATTTTAATGGATTTTGTATATTTTGTAACTCACTCTTACTGATTCAGCTAAACACTTTCTTAATAGTTTATATTATTTATCAAAATTCGTGCTGAATATAGTCTCACAGTAAACAATATAACTTGAAAAAGTTTATTTTAATTTTTGAAAAACAATGTTCACTTATTATTATTTTTTATTGAGATCATGAATCGATTGGTGTTAGACTATTTTTGAAAACCTGGAAGCACTAGATGGCCGTTTCGTCCTATTGTGGGAATCCTTAGCAATGCACATCCACGATTTTGCTCTCATGATTTGAAACCAGGGCCTTCAGTCTCTCGTGCGAACGTTTAACTTCTAAACCACTGAGCCGGCATCCAATGGTGTTGATGTCTAACTTCAACCAACCCACGAAGTTGCGCGACCATCTTTCATAGTACTGAGGTAGATACCCGTCTCTACCGAACACGGATTAGCACCACTAGTCCTAGATTCTCACTAGAACTCCGGGAATTCCCTCACGAAGCATGTCATTAGTGAGCACATGGTAATTATCAGTAGGGGGTTGTAGTGATGATTAAGTATTTTGATTGAGATCATGAACTTAATAATCTCCACAACCCTGTACTGATTATTATTTCTTGTTGAAATATGTAAGGGATTTTATTTCAAAGATTGATTTGATTGTATTTGAAATTAAGGAAGTCATTCATGCATTACCTACCTAAGATAAAATGATATTTTCATTCAGTGATCAAAAAGTTTTATAATCATGATCATTGTATACGACTAGGATAAGGTTTAATTTTGATAATTTCTATTAAAACTAAACTGTTACTGTTGTAAAACGTTATTACCAAGTTCAATTTATAGACCAAAACTCGACTGAAAAGGTTATATATATAATATGAATTTGATTGATTATAAGATATTTAGGAGATTAGATTTATATCATGAATGGATGAATGTTAGACAACTCTATTGAAAACCTGGAAGCACTGGGTAGCCCATTCATGATATCAGTCTAATCTCCACAACCCTATATAAGATTATTGATAATGTTGTGATGGCATATTGTCCACAAAATTTGTTCTCATTTTATATTTACAATAATTTCAAGTTTATATGAATCATTTACATCAATAATAAAGCATTACATAACATAAATAATAATAGTACTTCATTTATATATGTGTATAAATATTCGAACAATAAAGTACAGTAAATATTCTACTTTGACAATGAAAAATCTTTATAAAAGTACATGAGATTATAATTCCATTAAGGAAGTATTGAAATGTTAAAGAGACAAGTAAAATGTAAATTAATAATTTTGTATCGTAAAACCTATCTGTAGTTATATCTAAATTATTATGTGTTCATTTAGCTGGTTATTTAATTGTAATCTAATTTTATAATAGAACGTTTTTTTAGAAAAAGACTAGAATTTTCCATGATATATTCATAAAAATTATATTGAAACCTGTTGTATGCTATATTTTCAAGCTTATTGTATTTATACTACTTGTCATAACAAAATCTGTATAACCTGTAACTATAATATGAATATGTCCATTTCTTGCTTTACATACTACTACTACTACTACTACTACTTCACTTCGCTTACTCCCTTTACTGTTTAATACCAAAAATAATAGTGATAATAATTAATAATAATAACGGTAATACGACTGCTTCTATGACTATAGTTGTTGATTTATTGTTTTTTTTTATTAAATAAACTGGAACAGCTATTGAATTTCACAGATTCCACCAACGTAATTTTATGCTTAGGTTATACTGGAAACATATATGTATAGATATATTTTTTCCTATTTATGCATATGTGTTTTACTGTTCTATAAATGTTTGACTGAATAAAAAGCAGGACATATTTCTCATATGAAAATTCGAATTGTCACATCGTTGATTTTCCAAAAAAAATTATATTATCTAGCGTCTGATATATACGTATACAATTACATCGTCTTTTCAAATGTTTTAGACAGTAGGGTTGTATATTTTTTGTTTGAAAAACAATAGTATGATGTTATTCAACACATTTGAAAACTTTAAACTAAACTACAATTTGTCGTAGTTTACTTTTTATTTCATTATTCTAGATGGAATATAAGTGTAACTAG